GGCGCTTCTTTTTTAATTTATCCTATGCTACTGCAGCGCCACCTTTATTGGACACGTTTTTAGGGACACTTTTCATATACAGAGATGGTCCTCCTTCTACTCTACACTCCATAATATCAATGAACCCATGACTGTATTTTTTTAATAACTGGCTTTATAGCTCTGGGATCTAGCTAGCCTTCTAAGCCTGAAGTTAAAATATATTATAATTATCCTTCAAACTGATTCACAATATGTTGATGCGTCACATTGTGCAGCCATTGGGAGATTTTGACGGCAACTTGAGCCAGCATATAGCTGACGGTTGGCGATGGTATCTCAAGGCGCCTAAGCAGACAGACACCTTATTTTGAGAATCACATCACCATCACAACACTTATTTCACAGTTTCCACTAATAGTTCACATGCGCAGACACTTAATACACAAAATCGCACTACTTATACATATCAAAGTCCACTTTGAGCCATTATTTAAACAATAATATAGGATCAGCAAAGCGCCGCTGATGAAGCTCCCGCCAAACCCCCCCCCCCCCCCATGACTGTAACATACATAGATTGATAGATTACTGTATAATATATACTAGCAGTGTTGCCGATTTGGGGGGAATTTCCCAAATTGCAGGGAATCTCAAGTTGATTAGGGATTTATTAGGGATTGGCATTATGCGGGGAAAATGCGGAGATTTTAAGATCTTCGTCGACATACTATTTCGGGAATTCCAAATATTTTAATATTTTTTTTTTTTTTAGTTTAGGTACTTACGGAATACGGACGACTTATTGCACCAAATTTAAATCACTTTGACTTCAGTGGGCTTGGCAAATAGTGAGTCAAATAATCCATAAAGTAAAAAAAATAAAATTCCTGAATAAATTTAACGTTTTTTGGCTTAACGAACCAAACTTGAGCTGGCTATGCATAGAAGCGAAAATGAAAGATCATAGCGCATAAAAGTGATCTGATTCGACATATGAATTCAGATCGCCATAAGAAAAAATCAGTTGAAATGCAGAATGTCCCAAAAATTTCAACTTATTTGTCAGTGACGGATTTAGCTATAAATGTACAAAATGCTGAATAAAAATTAGCCGAAGCGCTAGTTGGTTGGTGCATGCAAATGCTTAGAAATAAAAACATATCCATAGAAAACATGGTAGGCCTAAGTTCAGAATCTGCAAACGTGATAGTTGGGGAACATTGCTCTGTTTTTGAACTTCTTAAAAACAATTTGCCTCACATTGCTATGGTGAAATATTCTTGTCATATGATACACCTATCATCATCTAAAGCTTGTTTCAAATTATCTCGAAATGTCGAAGATTTTTTGCTTTCTGTTAGAGATCACTTCAGTAGAAGTTCACAGAGACAACTAAAATTTAGAGTTTCAAAAATTCTTTCAAGTGGAGATTCACAAAATTCTCACACCAGCTTAATCTCGATGACTCTCGCTGAAAGCGTGTGTAGACCTTGTCTCGGAGCAGTATATTCCATTAAAAACCTACTTGACAGAAACTGTCTTCTCAGATCCGTCGAAAACTACCGAAGAAATGTTGATTACAATGAACAACCATTTCACTGTGGTATATTTGGAAATCATGACTTACGTACTTACACTGGCAACAATATTCAATATCTTGTTTCAATCAGAAACATCCCTTCTTCACAAATTGAAACCAGAAGTCAAAAAGCTTTTGAGAACTGTCTTCTAATTTCATGAAAATTAGCTATGTCAAGTCCTGTGCTAACATTTTAAACGCAGATTTCAAAATCCAACACATTTCCTAGTTTTCAATGAAATATATATTGGATTAGAGGCTGGAGAAAGTATGGAAATTTAGAAAAATGACGAAAATGTACCTTGTGCTGCTATTGCAGATTTCTATAGATCCTGCCAGAAATTTTTTATTAAATTGACGTCAGACATTACCAAGTGATTTGATTACGGAATGCTTTATTTTCTATTATATCCGCTGTGAATCCATCAGAAGCTTAACAGTTTCTAATTAAATCACTTGTGCCTGTGCTGAAGCGATTTCCAGTGCTTTATAAATTTGTGACCGCACAAAAATTAGATGACAAGTGTCAAACTCAAGCTTTGTTAGATTTTGATCAACATGGGCTTAAAATTTATGAGATAACATCGATGCCGAAAGTTAACATAAAAAATGTCTTTGTTGCTCATACTGACATTTTCAAACGCATTAGTCGAAAGCAAATTTAAAGTGCTTCGATATTTAAAAACAGAAAACCGCAATCGGCTAAATACAGATACTGTAGTATCTTTAATGGCAACGAGAGAGGGGAAAAAGAAATTGGGCGGCAGTGTCAAATTTAATCCTGCGAGCAAAATGCTTGCATCAAACGTATGGAAAAAGTTCAATGGAAAAAACAGGTTAAAAATAAATATTATTTAAATAGTTGGACCTTGTTTCATTGTTCAAAATAATATTGAGTGGAATTTGTAAGGAATCAGCAGATTTTAGTCCCCAAATGTGGGGAATTTTATTTGGATTTTTGGGGAATGACATACATTGGCATTGGCAACCCTGTATAATGGAGAAAACTGGTAACATCACAGATTCTTTTTTTTTGGAGTTTATGGCCTGGTATCTAGACCTTTAGGCCAAGTCTTAAGTATTTTTATTCGGTTTATTGTAATTTCCCCACTCCTTCATAGTATACTGCTTCACAATATGTTGATGCGTCACATTGTGCAGTTCTTGGGAGATTTTGGCGGCAACTTGATCCAGCAGACAGCTGATAGTTGGCGATGGTATCTAAAGGTGCCTATGCAAACAAACAGCTTATCTTGAGAATCCATCACCATCAGAGCACTTGTTTCACTGTTTCCACTAATAGTTCACATGCGTAGACACTTAATACACAAAATCGCAACACTTTTACATATCAAAGTCCACTTCAAACCATTATTTAAACAATAATACAGGAGCAGCAAACCGCCGCCGGTCAATTTCCCGCCAAAACTCCTCACAGATTCTTTATAGTTTGTGCTCACAGACTAGGGGTGTCCACTTAAAAATATATCGATATTTATATTCGATTAAAACATCGGATGCCAGCATCGATGTTTATCGATATATCGCTAGAAAACATCGATATTTTTTCACTATCAAATACTTTCCACAAAAGTATAATATGACCTTTTTCCAGTGAAACGCGCAAAGTTTGTAGTCCTTGATTTTGTATGTGTGAATGTAGAATAAGAGACCAGAGAAGCAAGTAAAAGTCTTACATAAACTTGTCTTAGATAAACAATCAAAACAATGATTTAATTGCGTTACCACCAAACAGCAGAAGACGACACAAGAAGAGTGAGAGTGAGTGAATGAAAGTAAATGTAATGAACACACACAGACTACATACATTGAGAGTGAATTGTCGATCGATCTGTCAGCATAGATTAGCTAATTAAGCTGGTCACTCACAGATGTCCCTATCTTAATGGACTTTACTTAAGGCGCATGGTTGCGCAAAATTTCGCGCTAGTTGTTATTTGTGCAGTTTTTAGGAGCTATCTACTTTTATTAAAAAGATATATCAACTAATAAAAAAACATATTATATTTCTACATAATCTTGATTCCATAAGAGTCATATCCATTTTTTTTTCAAAGGGAATAAATATTAAAATAATCTCCTTACAACGAAACCATATAAATGTGAAATAATTATTGATAATATGCATCTCCTCGTAAAGTAAGCATTATTTTATTTTCAATTGACACTAATGGATAGGCAATTTATTAATGAACATTTCTATCATATAATTTTTTTCAGAAGACCATATTTTGATTTTATTAAGAACTAGCTGTTCCCCGCGACTTCGTTCGCGTGTTAGGGTTTTTATGTTTCCGCGCGGAACCCTGATTCTTTTTCTAAAATAAAAGTAGCCTATGTTACTCCTTATGAAATCAGGTATCTGCCAGTGAAAGCCCCGTCAAAATCGGTCCAGCCGTTTCGGAGATTACCCGGAACAAACAGACAGACAGACAGACAAAAATTTTAAAAATTGTATTTTAGTTATAGGTAGTATTTACTTTCATATGCATTTAGTAAAAAACTGTAATTTTGACATTACAAACAGACACTTCAATTTTATTTATTTGTATAGATATATTTTAAAAACTACCCACAGGGTTGCTGGAGTCAGTGAGCGCTAAGCTCTTGAAGGTGAAAACCGTGTCGTTAGTCACGGCGTCGGCTAGCGCACACACTCACGTCATCTTTTCAGTCGATAATATTATTATTACTTATTAGGTTATTTATAGGTAGTATTATTTGTTTTGGGTATAATTTTTCGTATTAGTTATATATATATATATATATATATATATATATATATATATAATGTAATAATATAATAAATTAGATATATATATATATAACTAATACGAAAAATTATGCTGCGCGATGAAACTCTTTGCGTGTATTTTCTTTGATGTAAATGCAAATATAAAAATTAAGCACCATTAGCATGTAAGGTTTGGTTTGAATTGGGCGTTTAATTTGGTCTATTGTCGTCCAATAAAGCCTGGTCGGGTAAGTCGGTGACTAATTCGACCTGGGCGTCTAAGTTGGCCTATGCCAGTGATGAATATCAGTCTGAATTGAAGGAGCTTCTAAAAACTGCCAAGCAAGAAAAAATTACAAAATTCTTTAAACCATTGCCTAAGCCTGAAGATAATAATTAATTAATATTATGGTCAAAACTTCAATTAAATTTTTTTTTTAAATATATTTGATTTTTATTTTGTGACCTAGAAACATATCTCCTATAATTCCATATAAATTGCCATTCCATATTCACGGTTTCTGTATTCGCGGCATATTTACGGAACATATATCCCGCGAATAAAGAGCTTTTACTGTATCTTACAAAAGACATCGAATAAATTCGATATATCGATATTAAGTGAATATCCCTATCAGAGACATAGTCACAGTCTCTCGTCAGAGAGTAGTATGTTCCTTGGTCACAGATCAAATTTCCTGTTTAGGTGTATAGGACTACAGTTAGCAGTTACTTTCCCGCCTAAGGGTATTAGTGTTCTGTGCTTCCTTATATATTACTATATCTTTGCTTCTGTGGTTACTAATATTCTTTGGTAACACCTTTGTGTTTACTTTAGTTTTTTTTATATTGGTTATCTCAAATACTTATAATTTTAGATATAATGCATTTAAAATGTTTATTAATATTGTTATTGGAAATAGTATTATTTGTCGATGGAGGTAAACACTTTAGACTTGGACGAAGTAAAGGCGGAAATTTAGGTGTACCCGGCAATTACGCGGGTGAAAAATTACCACCCGCCGAATGGTTTATACAAAAATTAGATCATTTTAGCCCTACCGATTTAAGGACTTGGAAACAGGTAAATCTGATTTGACTAACCACGTAATAATATCCTACAAAAGAACAGGCACTTTTCACTAGTTTACTATTATAAAAATATTTTTATAAAGAGCTTTTATAATTTACTGGTGTTCAAATTCCATGAGCATGAGTCAAGCCAGGTTGATTGTTTAAATGTTTTTTGATGCCTAAGTCCAGCTACTACTAGCTGAAAAAATGCTCATATCTTAATACATGGGCTTGACCTTAGTACGAGACTTCGTCTTGATTTATTGAAAAGTTAAACATTTGGAACTGTTAGATAGTTGATTATCTATGCCACAGGCTTGATCAAGTATGGCTTTGGTCATGCAATTGCAATCACGAGAATATTTCTTTTTCTTTATTAGATGACACAAGCAAAAGTAATAATATTCATGAACAGTGGTGAAAGAGGGTTTTATAATTATGAAAGAGCCAACAAAGCTTTGTTTCTGTGAAATGTATTTACAGTAAATTGTAACTTTTTTAACATGCAAGTTTTATTCAATTCACTAATACACTGTAATTGTAATACATGAGTTTTTAATAATTTTTCAGAGATATTATGTGAATGATAGCTTCTATGACTATAAAAATCCAGGGCCCATATTTCTGATGGTCGGTGGAGAGGGACCAGCTGATCCAAGATGGATGGTTAAAGGCACTTGGATTGATTATGCTAAAACATTTAAAGCTTTCTGTATCAACTTAGAGCATCGATATTATGGAGAGAGCCACCCTACTAAGTAAGTTAGTTTTTTATCTATACTAATCTATACTAATATAATAAAGCGGAAGAGTTTTTATGTTTTTTGGTTTGTTTAAACATGCTAATCTCTGGAACTACCAGTCCGATTTGAAAAATTCTTTTTGTATATTATAGCTAGATTCATGTGGAATAGTATAGGCTATCTAGCAATAAGCTATATCACTCAGCTAGCCTTAAATATGGATATTTGTTAAGCAAATCAGAAGAAAAAGCACTCCCGAAATGATTTATCCGCGTACGCTGGTGTTATCGTTAAGGATACGTAAATACAATGTTCTAGAAAATATAGATCTTTACTCCATCTAAAAAAAGTCTGCGATACCATATGTCTATTTCTTATACATAAGCCATAATTACGTATTTTGTTATAAAAAAATATTGAAAATTTAAAAGTGATTTATGCGCATTATTACTAGACATGGTCTATTTATCCTTACGAACGAAAGTTACTTCATCATCAAGACAATTTTATGAAGATTAACTTTGTTCTTTATACCATGTTATTTGGACGCATAGATTAAGAGATAATGTAAAATTAAAATAATTCAATACTTGGCAGGGCTATCGAACGACACATAAACCCTAGCCGCCCGGTGAGAACTGCGAGAACTGCTCAACCGGGAGGGGGAGGGAAAGTGGATAAAACTTAACTTCGTTCTACATCACACATAATATGCCAATAGATAAAAGTACTCCATTAATTATGCCAATTTTTCCATCCATTGCTATCAAATAAAATATTCTATTGCAATTATAAAATGCTTGAACTAGGTCATGTCGCGCACCTCTGACACGTGATGACGCGGGTGAAACCGCGGGGCACAGTTATGTATAAGATAGTAACTCAATATTATGTTTTGAGAGTAAATACAAAGTCATATTAACTCTTGCTCCTAACTGCTGAGGAGTGTTGTGGGGCATATAAGTATTAGGCTTAGAACCGCAGTAGGTGCATGCAAAGTGAAGCCATTTCAAGTTAGCCTTTAACGGCTAAGTACGACTTTTGGCGCGTTAGTACTCGAGTCCACGTAGTCGTGCAAACATCTCCCACAATTTTTCAAAAAAAATTATGTACTGTACTGTGAAAGGGTGTCACAACTCATCTCATAATCACCAAAAAAATGTAAAAATCTCATTTCTTGGTTAAGTACTGCCTGGCTTCTTATATTTTTGTAAAAAACATTCATCAAAAGAAAATAATAAATAATAAATTTGACAGACGTCAATATAATGAAAATGTTGCTAGGCATAGTAAAATATTTTACCCCATTTTTTCTTATTATAATAATTATAAAAAAACGCATTTTGAAAAAAAAAATACATACATACTGCCAATAGTTTCATACACATATAAATAGGTATTTTTATTTGCCAAATATTATTAGGGTTCCCATTTGCCACAGAAAAAATATATTGATTTTATTTTGTTTTGATAATGTGTAGTTGTTTTTACCTTTTTATGGTATGTGTTTTAGGATAAATAACATAGCCTATAATTATGTTTTTTATTCTAATTTACATATGTTTAACATTTTTAGTTCGATTCTTTTATGAATCTTTTATTCTTTTTTTCTTAAGACTGGAAAGTCTCAAACTAAATCTAGTCCAGTTCAATCCCCAGAAGACACAAGTTTGCCCGTTTACCGCTAAAAGAACCCCTTTGTCGTATCGCCTCAGTTTCAAGGCACACCCCTTGTTGCCTCAGCCAGTATCGGTATCCTCGGTGTCGATATATCGAGTGATTTGCAGTTTCGTGGTCACTTGGAAGTGAAGGCCAAATTGGTCTCTAAAAAGCTTGGCGTGCTCAGCAGAGCGGGAGAGTATTTCATGTGGGCACACCGTTTGCAACTTTACAAGGCGCAGGTTCGGCCTCACATGGAATACTGTTCCCATCTCTGGGAAGGGGCTTCCCAGTGCCAGCTCCTTCCACTTGACCGCATCCAGCGCAGAGCGGTTCGAATCGTCGACAACCGTGTTCTTTCCGATCGGCTTGACTCACTGGCACAGCATAGAGATGTTGCATCTCTTTGCGTATTTTATCGCATCAATCACGGGGAGAGTACAACATACAACATTTTTAACAATTTAACATTTTTCTCTTTGCAAATATTTAATAAATAATTATAAACACAACCTAAATATTAATTCTAAGACAATGTCTACTATTATATTTTCCCCACTTTTTGTAGAAAATGTCATTAACTTGCATACGTTACTCATTTGCTTGTGTGCGTTTGGGCAAACGTAATTACAGGCGGCTTATGAACACATTCATTGTGTTGTTGCTTCAACTTTGAACGGAATTTTGAATGTCACTATCACTCTATGTGTAATTACTCTAAGTTGTGGGGGATGAGAGAGAGCAAAGGGATCACCCTGCAGGTTAATTAAACTGAGAAAAGTAAATATTTAATAATATAAAATATTTGATAGTCAAAGCAGAAATTACAGGGGTGGGATTTAGGAGTAGTAAAGCATAGAGTTTATTTAACACATAAGATTGCAATCAACAATTTCATTAGTGACGGCACATAACCTAGATGCTCGTATACTGTAAAATTTACAGCAAGTGCTTTTACCCTATAGCTGTGATAGAGCTATTACAATAGTTGTGATAGCCCTATCACGGCTATTGTAAATGGATATCAATGAAAATTTCTAAAGCCCATAGTCATTGTTGATTCGCATTTAAACATTTTAAACTTCCTTTTTCCACTCATCCTTTTTTCATTACAGTAATTAAAACTTTTTTGAATTGATTACCTGAAGTTATTGGCCATTATGGATTTTATGGTGAGTAAAAGAATGTTTTATAATTTTGTTACAGTGACCTCAGCGTAAAGAACTTGCAGTACTTATCTTCTAGCCAAGCATTGGCAGACCTGGCAAACTTCATAACAGCAATGAATGATAAGCTCAAGTTGAACAAGGAAGTTAAATGGGTGGCATTCGGTGGATCTTACCCTGGATCATTGGCTGCTTGGTTGAGGATGAAGTATCCCCATCTGGTATTTGCAGCTGTTTCCTCCAGTGGACCATTATTGGCGAAAGTCAATTTCATGGGTAAATTAAACTGCAATATATTTTTATATGTGGAAGAGCCATGTTACAGCTATGTTATGGTTGTAGCACGAAAGGGTCAGCCCTACCGAGGAAGGACCACGCTCTTACAGAATACCAGTGTAAAATAATGCACAACACCTGCAACTTTACAAGGCAAAGGTTCGGCCTCACATGGAATACTGTTCCCATTTCTGGGCTGGGGCTACCCAGTGCCAGCTCCTTCCACTTGACCGCATCCAGTGCCGAGCGTCTCGAATCATTGACGACCGAGTCCTTTCCAATCGGCTCGATTCATTAGCGCTGCGAAGAGATGTTGCATCACTTTGCATTTTCTTTCGCATTTACCACAGAGAGTTCTCAGAGGAATTGTTCGGATTAATCCCAGCCGCCAAATTTCACGAACGCACATCGCGGCAGAACTCCCGATACCATCCACACCATCTGAATGATTGACAGTCCACCACTGTGTGATTTAGAAGATTGTATCTTCCTCGCACGACTTCCTTGTGAAATCGATTACCATCAGCGATTTTTCTGGACCGATACAACTTAGGGACCTTCAAGAAAAGAGCCTACTCTTTTTTAAAAGGCCGGCAACACATCTGCGATTCCCTTGGTTCTCCAGATGTTGCTGTTGTTCATGGGCGGCGGTAGTCACCATCAGGTGAGCCGCATGCTCGTTTACCCCCTCTCCTATAAAAAAAATAGCAGCTCAATGCTGCTGTGTGAAACTTATGGTGAGTGTAGCGAACCAGAGACCTTTTTTACTGGAAACGAGGCTTTCCTTATTAGTCCTCAGGAGTGGCAATGCATTGCCACCCCTGAGGACTATGAATGCAGATGCACTGCATTTTGATTTTTAATCGAGTATAGTCCATGAGCTACAGCCACTTACCATCAGGTGGACTGTGTGCTCATTTGTCACTATTAATCCATAAAAAAGATATATGAAACATTAATTATTTCAGAGTATTTTGAAGTGGTGGTGAATGCGCTCCGTGAGAAAACGGGTGGGGAGGAATGTGTCAATCAGCTGCGTCTTGGGCACAAACAGATAGAGGATATGATGAAGACTGAGCCAGATGCTATTGAAAAGGAATTTAGGTATATTTTCATCACTTTTTTACATGGTAGAGCCATGCTGCAACTATATTAGTAGTACAGTTGTAGCACAAATGGCTCGACCGGGGAAGGATTACACTCTCACAAAATACCCGCGTAATATAGCAAATAAGCAAGGTACAGACATCCTCTTGTGCTACTCAAGGATCTAAACCTATGAAATCATTGGTTGCATCATTGCATTCACCTCAACTTTATAAAATCAGTCGCACTACTGAAAGCTCAACCAAAAACTCAAAATGGTCTTTTTTGGTTTGGTTGTTGTGGTTAGTAGGATTTTTTTTAATTGCCCTTAATTATCATGTTGGGTAGACATGTTGGTAAATGCAATGCCAATACCCTAGTACTGGGAATGGTGCTCCCCATTACCAGTTTCTGAAATTTAGGCAATTTTTCAATTGTTGGCACCAATATGATGTAGGCACTTTGAGAATAGTTGGCACATCCCCATTTTAATTTTGTTTTTATGTAATAAGTATCAAATTTTCCCCCATGACTTGCTTCCACTAGCAGGATCTGACTTCATGGCATCTTGGCAAGGTCTCTGGGACCAAACTAAAATCATAAAATGTAAACACTACGCTCGGGTTCAAGATACAATCCCATACAAACCTTGGTTTTTCCATTATCGTGAAACTAACAAATTTACTACATCAACCATTTGCCGTCTTCGCTTTGGTCATTCTTGCACACCGGTACACCTAGCCAAATTAAGGATAAGGGATAATTCTTTATGTGAATGTGGTCTTGATGAAGGTTCAACCGATCACATATTTTTCGAATGTCCTCGACCCAAGTTCTCCTTGTATAATATCCTTCCTCAAAACGTCCCTCGTCCTACTAACTCTACCTGTATGCTGTCTCTTGTGTTCTCCTCATTTGTTCATATTTTATGTGATTTTATTTATACTAATAGTATTAAGTTGTAACATAAAACTAATCATTGTTGGTGGTAGAATTATAAATGTTTGTGTTGTCTTTTGTTGTAGATTAGAAGCCAATCACAAAAAAAAGTAAAATAAAAAAAAATTATATAAAAAAAAAGATTTTATTTACCTTGTTGTCACTCCCATGACTGACTTGACATTGGCAGAATTCTTATAAGAGAAGCCAAAAAGTAAAGAAGAAGAAGTAATAAGTTAATAATAAAATTTGAATAAAATAATTTACTTCTCCTTTTCTTTGTGTATCCAGGCAAAGGTTCTCGTTTCTTAAATTACGTTTCGCAATAAAGCTGAACACACATTTTTTTGTTACAGGGTTTGTAAACCATTTGTTAGGGCTACGAAGAACGATTTGAGGAATTTTTTCAACTCCATAGCGGACGACTTTGCCGACTTGGTTCAATACAATGAGGACAATCGTATTAGCTCCGATACCAAGTACAGAAATATCACTATTAATACTGTAAGTAATAGGTTTTTTTTAATAGCTAACTGCCATACTCAGACCTGACTTTAAGAAGCCTATACAAAACTTTGCACTTTGTTAGCCTTCTATACAAAAATTTGGTTAAACACACATGCACAATCGGAAATACCAGAAAGATCTAATGCTTTCTAATAGGTGGCAGTATAACAATCTTGTTTAGACCAGTTGTAAAATACTAAGACCAGTGACAGGCTGTCGCGTCAACGGTGCGAGACCTCTGGTTCTTCGATAGTGAATCCACTTGCTAAGGTTGACAATCAAGGGAAATCTCCCATAGAAGACATGAACAAAATGGTATCTTACTTATCAAAATAATACGCCCAATTCCTCCCCTTCCCCCCCCCCTCCCTCCATCAACATGGTAGCGGAATTACACGAAAGACTACCCCAGGAGGATACTAGCACCCCTGGAGAATCCCTCGCTGGGCATCCACGACCATGTTATTCCACTCCTGAGCGGGGGTGCTCAGGCTGCCCTGCGTATTCTGGGGGGGGGGGGGGAACATAACTGCTCGGGGCCAACTGAGCAACAATACCAAGGCGACCCCTGCCACGCTATCCGTGAATTTCTGCAACATCAGGGGACTTCACTCGAACTTAAACGCCGTCCACTACCATCTCGAGACGGCGAAGCCGGCCTTTTGGAGCACTCCTTTGTGCCTCGGGCTGGAGTTTGCGTGTATGTCAGAGAGGACATCTGTTCTCGACTCCGCGGCAGTCTTGAAGGTTAGGACCTGTCCATCCTTTGGCTACGCGTAGACAGCGACGACCATCCGCGTGTCCACGGGTGCCTCTATAGGTCCCAAAGCGGTAATGCCGAAACAGACCGACTCATCGACCACGTCCAAATGGCTACAGATGACTTGCTACAACAGGTCCCATCCGCAGAGATCGTGATCCTTGGCAATTTTAACGCTCACCACGCCGAATGGCTCGGTTGACGTTTAACCGATCATGCGGGGAGATCTGTCCATGACTGCCTTGGCATATGGTCTGACACAACTGGTTACTTCGCCTACGCGTTTTCCAGATGTGGAGGATCATACACCTTCCCTGTTGGACCTTCTGCTGACCTTTCTTCCGGACGGATATCAGGTTTCCGTCGATGCCCCTCTAGGCTGTTCGGACCATTGTCTGATCCGGAGTATGGTGCCACTCACGCTCCCCTCTCGGTTGCGTTCTGCAGGTTGCCGCCGTGTTTGGTATTACAGGTCGGCGGATTGGGACGGAATGCGGTCTTTCTTTACATCCTACCCATGGGGGCGGGTTTGCTTCTCGCCGGATGATCCCAGCGCTGTTGCTGACTCTGTCACTGTTGTGGTGCTACAGGGAATGGAGCTATTTATTCCATCATCTGTGTTACCCATCGGATGCAGATCTCAGCCTTGGTTTGGTCGCTCCAGTAAGACTCCATTACGCAGTAAGCAGGAGTGTTATCAAGCCTGGGCTGCGGCTTCGGCGACTCGGGATGTAAACACCAGCACACTTAAAAAGAAGTATAACTTCGCCTCCAGGTCCTTCAAAAGAGTTATTGCCAAGGCAAAGTCAGAGCACATAGGCAGAATTGGCGAGGAACTAGTTCGCCTTCTTTCGGGAACCCGTGCATTCTGGTCTCTCGCCAAGGATGTCCAAGGGAATTTCTGTAAGCCATCACTACCATCCTGCACAGGGAAGACGACTCATTGGCCCATGCCGCAAAACACAAAGCCGACCTTTTAGGCTCCCTTTTTGCGTCCAACTCGACTCTTGATGACGGGGGGAAAACACCGCCGACCATCCCACGGTGTGAGTGCTCCATGCCGGATGTGCTGTTCTCACAGCGCTCTGTTCGGGAAGCAATTTTCTCCCTGGACATCCAGAAGTCGAGTGGGCCTGACGGAATCCCCACAATTGTGCTGAGGACGTGTGCTCCGGAGTTGGCACCGGTCCTAACGCGTCTTTTCCGGTACTCCTACTCCCTAGGCGTAGTCCCGAATTCATGGAAGACAGCTTTTGTCCACCCGATCCCTAAAAAAGGCGATCGCTCAGACCCGTCGAACTACAGGCCTATCGCCATCACTTCCTTGTTCTCCAGAATAATGGAATCCATTATTAACTGCCAGCTCATGCGGTACCATGAGGATCACCAGCTGATTAGTGACCGCCAATACGGTTTTCGTCGGGGTCGATCAGCTGGTGATCTTCTGGTCTACCTGACCCATAGATGGGCAGAGGCAGTAGAGTCCAAGGGGGAGGCGTTGGCCGTTAGTTTGGACATTGCGAAGGCCTTTGATCGGGTTTGGCACAAAGCGCTTCTTTCGAAGCTCCCTTCCTATGGGCTTCTCGAGAAATTGTGCAATTGGATCACCAGCTTCCTTACAGATCGGAGCATCTAGATCGTTGTAGACGGTGCATGTTCCGACTACAAGCCTATTAACGCTGGTGTTCCACAAGGCTGTGTGCTATCACCAACGCTGTTTCTTCTGCATATCAATGATATGTTGCTAACTGTAACATTCATTGCTATGCGGATGACAGCACTGGTGATGCTCTATACACCGGCCGTGCCAATATTTCTCGGGAAAACGTCGCCGAGTACCGGAACAAACTTGTGTCTGAAGTCGAGTTTTTGCTGAACAAAGTCTCGGATTGGGGGCGACTAAATCTCCTCAGTTTCAAGGCACTCCCCTTCTTGCCTCAGCCAGTATCGGAATTCTCGGAGTCGACATATCGAGTGACGTGCAGTTTCGTGGTCACTTGGAAGAGAAGGCCAAATTGGCCTCTAAAAAGCTTGGCGTGCTCAGCAGAGCGGGACAGTATTTCATGCCGTCACACTGCCTGCAACTTTACAAAGCGCAGGTTCGGCCTCACATGGAATACTGTTCCAATCTCTGGGCAGGGGCTCCCCAGTGCCAGCTCCTTCCACTTGACCGCATCCAGCGCAGAGCGGCCCGAATCGTCGACGACCGAATCCTTTCTGATCGGCTTGATTCTTTTGCACTGCGAAGAGATGTTGCATCCCTTTGCATTTTCTTTCGCATCTACCACGGGGAGTGTTCTGAGGAATTGTTTGGATTAATCCCAGCCGCCAAATTTCACGAACGCACATCGCGGCAGAACTCCTGATACCATCCACACCATCTGGATGATTGGCGGTCCACCACTGTGCGATTTAGAAGATGTTATCTTCCTCGCACGACTTCCTTGTGGAATCGATTACCATCAGCGATTTTTCCAGACCGATACGACTTAGGGACCTTCAAGAAAAGAGCCTACTCCTTTTTAAAAGGCCGGCAACGCATCTACAATTCCTTCCCTGTTGTTGCAGTTGTTTATGGGCGGCGGTAGTCACTTACCATCGGGTGAGCCGCATGCTCGTTTGCCCCCTCCTAAAAAAAAATTAAGTAATGTAAGGCCAGGGAGAGAATGTAAACAAGTCGATTTTTATGAAATCAGAATCGGCTGTTGTTAGATTTTTTTTATAGGATAGGATTACAAACGAGCACACAGTCCACCTGATGGTAAGTGGTTGCTGTGGCTCATAGACATCTACATTCATCCTCGTTTACGAATCAAAATGCAAATGCGTTGTCACTAGTGAGGACTAAGATGGAATGCCTCTTTTGGGTCTCCGGTTCTCTACACTCACCATACGAAACACGTCAGCATTAAGCTGCTATTTTACGCTGGTATTCTGTGAGAGCGTGGTCGTTCCCTGGTCGAGCCGACCCATTCGTGCTACAACTATACTACTAATGCATGGCTCTACCACGTATAAATTATTGTTATACATTTATTTTTGATTGATTTGCACTTCAAGTGTTAAGTTTTACTTTTGTTTCTGTGTTCAGTTTGTTTGCTCTTTTATGCAGAAATTGGTTATTTTTATTTTTTAAGTTCTTACTTTTATTCTGTTTGAAAAACGAGTTGGGTTGCTAATTTGGTCTTACGAATAGAATAGAATAATTTTTATTCAACTTGGATAACAGTACATAATACTTATTGAAAGTCATTTTTTACTTTTACCACTGGTTCGCAAAGAAAAACCTCTGTCCTGGGAAGAGCCAGCAAGTAACCCAGTGGATCTTTTTTAAAAAGCACAATTTACAATATAATATTTTATACAATTGATATGAAAACACTTAGAAACAGTATGGTAGTGACACCTCATTCCCAGGGGTTATTATCAGTCATGTACTCTTTAGTAGTATAATAACCCTTACTAGACAATTTTTGCTTAATAAATAATTTAAACCTTTTGATAGAAAAAGGTCTGTACATTTTCTGGGACTTTGTTGTAAAAGCGTATACAATGCCTTATGAAGGAATTATTGACTCTTTGAGATGGGAGTCGAGTAACTGGTATAACTAACTTGTGCTTGTTTCTAGTATTTATAGAATGTACATACATCACTATTTTCAATAAAACTATTTTTGATTTTGTGTGCATAAATTAAATTCTCGTAAATATATTGAGAGGCCAAAGTTAATATATATATTTCTTTAAAATGTTCTCTAAGGGATTCCTTTGGACCTAGGTTATAAATTGCTCTTATGACTCTCTTTTGCAAAATAAAGGTAGTTTCAATATTAGTCGCATTACCCCATAGCAATATTCCATGGCTTTGTTCTATGACTTTATGCTATGGAAATAACTAAAACATCCTAATCTTGCTGTTTCAACACATATGAGGCATCTAATCTTTTTTACAGCATATGCTGTAGAACTAAGTTTGCTAGCTAGTTTCGATATATGATATATGAGGGCCCCATTGACGCTTCGTGTCAACTATAATCAGAAAAACAGTGGATTCAACAAGGCCCAGCTCCTCCCCATTTAAATGTACCTTGGTATTCACTTTTTTAACATTAGGTGTAGTGAATTTAATACATTTCGTTTTATTACCATTCAAAAGCAAATCACTGACGTTAAACCAGTGTACTACTTTTGATATGGCATTATTCACTTCGTCATATTCCAATAATTGGCTTTTTAGTCGGAAAATTAACTAAGTATCATCAGCAAATAATACTATATCATGGTTATTCTCTACCAAGTAAGGTAAGTGATTAATATAAACTAAGAACAGAAAGGGACCAAGAACTGAGCGCTGAGGAACACCCATAGATACTACCGATCCGGAAGAACTGCACCCATTAATAACAACTGTTTGCGTTCTATTATTTAGATACGACATAATAAGTTTAAGCGCTATGTTTTTTACACCATAATGATGTAGCTTCCTTATTAATGTCTCATGATGAACACAGTCGAAAGCCTTGGAAAGATCACGAAATATACCCAAAGCATCTTCTGAATTCCCGCACAGAAAATACCTTTGATTAGGTCAACACCGGCATCAGTTGTCGAGCGACCCTTTGGAAATCCAAACTGATTCTTATGGAGTAATTTATTTACATTAAAAAAACTTAACATTTGATCTAGGATAATTTTAAAAAATTACTGAGCGTTGGTAGTACAGAAATAGGTCTAAAATTAGTGGGGTCCAATGTACTGCCAGATTTAAATAAAGGTATAACTTTACTATGTTTCGTTAAATCGGGAAACACCAGATTCAATACTACCATTGAAAATAATGGCAAGTTGGGGTGCGTTCGCATCTATTATAGACGCAATAACTTTTACATAAATCGCCCATAGATCTGCTGTTGCAAATTATTTTTTACAGACATTTACATTTTGTTTGAGTAATGACTGCAACAGCAGGGGAGGAATTAAGTGACTTTGTAGTCAAGATCGGAATGTCGGTAAAATATTGTTCAAAGGCCGTTGCAACGTCTTGATTTGATTTTGTCAAATTATTGTTAAAATTTAATTATTGAAAGTTTGTGTTGTGTAGTTTCATCTTGCCAGTTTCACTATTGATCCTTCAAGTCATTTTAATTTTATTGAAGTCATTCTTAATTTTGCTTCTTAAATAAAAGGACTTGGCCAAAATAGCTATTTTATACTAATTTTAGAATCTTCTCTTTTTGTGACAAACTGAGGAATTACTCAGCTGTGGCCTTGTGATGGGATGCATTGATGATGTCTAATTCCGACGCTTTTGTTAATTTATGAATTTAAAGTCTAACATTTCAGGAGTGTACCTTAAGTTATTTCTCTATCTAGTTTCTAGATCTATCTAGTTCTTTGCTAGGTCATGCCGACATTATTTGTTTAAATGGAATATAATGTTTTAGGTATGTAAAATGTTGACGGAGCCCGGCGAAAGTCCAGCCTACAAACGCCTGGCTGCATTTAACTCTATCATGTTGGACAAAGCTAACCAGACTTGCATGGACTACAGTTACAACAACATGATCAATGACTTGAGGAATATAACTTGGGGATCGGAGGGAGGTATGTTCATTATTTATATTATAGATAAATGTTAACAAAATATCTCGCTATGTGACTTGCATCGCTTATCCCCGCAAGTTTAGTGGTACGAGGCTTGCAGCTGTTGAGCTCGCGAGGTCGGGCGAACGAGCCGACGCGATAGCTTTTTTTATTATCTATCAACAAAAATAACTAGTGGGCGGCAATTTGTATTTAGCAACCCTGCTTTTTTATCAACTTTCGCCGAACAGACTATAGAGCTACCTGCGCAATAGTTAATTAAAGTTGTTTATTTGTTGTATATCTTTTCTTATTTACTTAATGTTGTATATTATGTAAGTGTATATAATATATTTAAGATTAGCCAGTTAAACTTAAGTTTTGTATTGAGCCTATGCTATCTTTTTACAGGCTGAGCTGTTCAATCTTAAGTTTGACCAATAAATTTATGTAAAACCATAACAAGGAACTCCAAGAAATAATTCCTAAACAGTATCTATAAACTTTCGAGTCAATGTAGTACAGTCACATAAATTAAAACCATACGTCATAAAATTATTTATTACCTCATGTCGTTCCTTTGGAGACATAACAAGTGGATATTGAAATTGCCAGAAAAGTCTGATTTTTTTTAATAAGATAAGAATGACAAACGAGCATACAGTCGTATGTATACCTGTAAGTGGTTGCTGTAGCCCATAGACATCTACATCTATCATCGATCACAAATCAAAACGTATATATTATACTAGTGAGACCGACAGCTTATACTGGATTTATTAATGTGCCTTATTTAGAATTAAAATAATTACCAAAGACAATTTATTTCATAAATTTATCAGTTATTTAAAATATTCTCGGCTAGAATATAGCCTAGACTCACTCCTGACATTTATCTCTATCTGTATATGAAGTTTGATTACTGACGATAAACAGACAGACAGCCAGGCAAAAAAATTTTAAATTGGTTATTCATATCTCTCTGGCATTAAAATAACCCTCTTAGCTAAAATGACGCAGTAATGTCGATATTACAGATATACAGTTCAATTTTATTTACAAGTATAGAGGTGTAGATTATTTAGATAGGTGTAAAGTTAATAAATATTACTCCCTACGGTATGGCAGTCTCTTAGGGATGTATTTGTGTCTACAATGATATTCTCTCGCCATATGTATTAAGTTGTCTCTTATGTATAAAAATATTTAAAGTATTATGTTGTCTTCACTGGTATGATAAAACTTTTTTATAATTAATTCTTTTATGTTTGTTAATGCTAAATGCTTAAATAATAGAAAAAATATATAGAAACAGAAACAGAAACTTTTTTATTCAATATAGATTATAAATAATACTTATTGAAAGTCACTCTTTTGTTTGATTACCACTGGTTCGGAAAAAACCTCTGTCCTGGGAAGAACCAGCAAGAAACCCAGCGGGACTTTTTTTAAATAACAGCTTACAATCATGATGTTACACAAATTAACAACAAATTAGAAATAGCTTGGTAGCGATCACCTCATTTCCAGGGGTTATTATCATCCATAAATTCCTTAATATTATAATAACCCTTTTTATACAAACTTAGTTTAATAAAGTTTTTGAGCTTTGAGCAGGTCAAATTTTGTATATTTTCTGGAATTTTGTTGTAAAAGCGTATACATCGCCCCAAGAATGAATTACTGACTCGATGGAGTCGAGTAACTGATACTACTAGCTTGTGTCTGTTCCTAGTATTTACAGAATGATTATCACTTATTTTTGTGAAACTACTTTTATTTTTGTGTACGTACATTACATTTTCATAAATGTATTGAGAGGCCAAAGTTAATATATTAATTTCCTTAAATTTTTGTCGCAGCGGCTCTTTAGGCTTTAAATCATAAATTGCTCTTATGGCTCTCTTCTGTAAAACAAATATAATTTCAGTGTCAGCTGCGTGTCCCCATAGCAAAATACCATACGACATTATGCTATGGAAATAGCTAAAGTAAACTAGTCTAGCTGTTTCAACACTGGTTAGACTTCTAATCTTTTTTACAGCATATGCTGCAGAACTAAGTCTGCTTGCTAGTTTTGATATATGGGGGATTTGATATATATATAAAAAATTTAATAAGAAATATTCAATACAATTCCTTTTTTGCATGTTAGCCCGTCAGTGGATGTACCAGACGTGCACCGAGTTCGGTTTCTACCAGACCTCGTCCGGCGAGGTGGAAGTGTTCGGTGACCACTTCTCTTTGGACTTCTTTATACAGCAGTGTCAAGATGTTTTCGGTACAAAGTGAGTACTGTTCTCTTCATTATTTTGACCTTTGGTTTTGCTTAATAAATCGCTTCTTAATTTTGCAGTATTTTATAAATACACGAAACTACTGTACTACAATATGATAATAATTTGTTATTTGGCAGTAATCGGCAGTATACAAGGAGGTGAAGTCAGTTTGTGTATTGAAACAAAAAAATATTTATTACAATACAATTATGCAATAATCCATGAGTGTCTTGTTGGTCCAGCAGACGTAAGCGCGGCTGCGGATCATGAGACCCCGGGTTTGAATGTTGGGTCGGCCAAAAAGTTAGTTATTGTGTATTTCTGTCATAAAATTCCAGTAGAACGTCGGAAACAGTAAGGTAGCGGTGTTTGATTCCCGTGCCTTGAAAAGTTATTTGTATAGATTTTATCCTATAACTTTCATCTGATCATTGGAAAATCAGTCTTTAATTCAACCTAATGTTTTGTTTTTAGATTCAACGAAAACTTCGTAGATAGTATGGCAGACTGGACCAACAGTTACTATGGAGGGCTGGGCATCTCAGTTAGTCGCGTTGTATTCGTCCACGGCTCCGTAGACCCCTGGCACGCATTAGGATTGACAACTACAGAGGACAACGACGCTCCTGCTATATTCATCCACGGTTAGTACCTATAATATATCCCAACACTGAAACTTAAAATGCACAAGGGGAAAATTAAAAATTTTGTATAACCGACTTCAATATAAAAAATTATATATTGTTGATTTTTAAAACCGCTCGACTGATTTCGATAAAATTTAAATGGGAATTATATACCCTTTGAAATAAAAAAAAAGAATTTTCCAAATCGGTTCAGGCGTCTTCGAGTAATCGGTGAATATACATAAAAAAATTCTGATGAATGAGAACCTTCTCCTTTTTGAAGGCGGTTCAAAATAGAACACCATTTATAAATATTGCTTCGTTAACCTGTGTTACGAGCTGCGACAGCGCGGTGTCATGTTACGACGTAATCTTTTGGCGCCATTATTGCTGAACACGCTTTATGACTTATGGTTCCGGCACAATGAATAATATGCATTAATTTGTATGGGATGATAAAACTTAAGAACAAATTTGGTCAAGGTTATTGAAGTAGCGATTTGGTAACATGTGTTGATACCGATATGAGGGTCTTTAACCTGTCGGTGATAGCCTAGTAATAGTAATAAAAATAAATCATCTACAAAATGTTAAATATGAAAAATAATGTACTGTGACTAAAAACTAAATTTGTCATATTTGATTGATCTTTTATGCATATTTATGCCCGGGAATGTCATTATTCGAAATTTATTTAATATCGTCTCCACACTGTATAATAGAGAATTAAATCGTAGTATGAAGCGACACGTACACCTGATGCAGCTTTCCATTGACTCTCCTTTCTCTTATATAATATTTGATGGTATTGTAATAATTATAATGTCCTTGGGAGCGAATTTCGCTCACCGCGGCCAGTTTCAACGGAGACTAGCCATCGGCGCAGGACAGGATTATAGTGCACGAGTGTATGCGCAAGCACAGGTGCACTCTCTATTCCCTCACTCTCATAGTCCGATGGGACGGTAATCCGACAACCGAAGAGATCAGGCGCACGACTAAACTGCTTTAAACAGACAGCATAAGGAGGATAAACGCACACGCACACACACACGCACATACACACACACAGTTTTCCTTTCCGAGACACGAAGGTGAAACACCACCAGCTGCCTGTCTCCGGGCTGCTTCTGAGTATTTCTTGACAGAAAATCAATAACTTTTGGCCCGCCCTTGCGAACACTAAACCAACGAGCCAGTTAGATTAATGCTACCATTCCATTAATCATCAAACACAAGTAATTAATTGATGGTATCAACTTCCATCGATATAGTCAGGATCCTTAAGTACTTATCAGCCGGTAAATAAAATCAATATATAAACGTAGTGTGAGACGCCGCCTGGCTGGAATGCAGCTACGATCTGCGCAAGGCGGCTGGTAGTAACTGGATGCGTGCAGCTGAAGATCGGGCTAAGTAGCGCGCCTTGGGAGAGGCCTTTGTCCAGCAGTGGATTGCCGCAGGCTAATGATGATGATGAAATAAAATGACCCGTGCATGCGTTAATGGATCGACCCAGAGCCGCCTCGTCATATTTATTCGTGGTCCCGTTAACAGTTCCCAGTAAAAAGTGGATACGAGGCTGACACAAGAGAATATTACCCTATCTGTAGAACCTCCGAACCGACCTCGGATCTTCAAGCAATTGGACAGGTCCACTGATTTTTTATCTACGAAATACAAATATCATTTGAATATTTTTATTTGTCCTCAGGTACCGCTCACTGTGCGAACATGTACCCGGCCAGCGAAAATGACCCTGCCGAATTGACGGAAGCGCGTCTTGAAATACAACAATACATTGGCACCTGGCTGGGGCAACCTTAAATCTATATTAGTTGTAAGAAGAATAATCTCCAAAGATAAATACCTAGGTTAAAAATGTAAGTAGTTATAAATTTTGAAATAGTAAAGTATACGCGAAATATGTATACAACGTGTAACAAAAACCCCTGTGGTTCCCTTTAAGTGCGTTATCAGAGTCGGTATTGAAACGTAAAGAAATAACTTTCAAAAAACCACAGGGTTTTTGTTACATGTTGTATATATTATGATTGTAGCACGAATTGATTGGCGCGACTGGCTAAAGTCTAATCTTTTGTAGAATATCAGCGTAAAATAGCAGCTTAATGCTGCTGTGGTTCGTATGGTGGGTGAAGAGAGCCGGAGACCCGTTTTACTGAAAACGAGACATTCCATTGTAGTCCTCAGGGGAGACATTGCATCTGCATTTTGATTCTTAATCGAAGATAGATGTTGATGTCTATGGGCCACATCATCCACTTACCATCAGGTGGGCTGTGAGCACTCTTGTCTCCCATACTCTATAAAAAAAAAGATATGGTTATCCATTGGTTCTTAATTAAGGATATATGTGGATATCTACGGCCCGTAGCATCTACTTACCATCGGGCATCAGGTGGGCTGTGTGCTCGCTTGTCACCCTTGTTCTATTAAAGTATCCAATAACGATGAGAAATTGATGTATTTTGTGCAATTATGTCGTCAAAATTCTTCATACCTTAGATCCGAGCTTCTCAACACTCGCAGCTGTCCTACTTTAAATAGTAGTAATTTTCTGATCGCTGGCGCACGCTTTCATATCCTATGAGAGAAGGACAGAACAATCAAGGTCACTTCGGTTCATTGCTAAAATTCATGAACCTTTTGGATTAATTATAAACCCAAAGAAGAAAAATCTTTACGATCATTTACATAAAATTGAATCTTGCTTGTTCTATGCGTACGCCCAAATATTTTGACTTGACAGGGTACTTCTTACTATTCTCAGACGTATAAACTGATTTCCTATACTGTTGTACACATTGTTGTAGCTGCTGATGGAACTCGCGAATGTTTCCGCGTTAACGTGAAATACAATATTTTATTAGGTACCCCAACAATGTAGGAGCTTACCCCTAGTGGAACTGTATTCTAAAGGTAAAGTTAAAGGTTACAACCTACATTCGTCCCCTCATTTCTGAGAGAGTTTTAGGACAAGGAAATAACCACCGCGCTGCCCCAATGCGTGTTGGCGAACTTCACGTCTTCGAAATATTTTTTTTATTCTTTAGACATGCAGGTTTTCTCAAAATGTTCTCCTACACCGCCGAGCACGTGGTAAATCAGCACTTAAAATTGCAATTAACAATTTCTTTGGTGTCGGCGGGAACCGAACCCTGGTTGGTCGCGTACTGTTAAATTTGCCGCGAGCCCTAATCCCCTGAAGCTACCACATCTCTTGAACTGTAGTGTGGTTAGTTTGGCAACCACAATGATGCTTAATCAATCTTGATGCGAAGTTACAAGTTGTTTTGGGAAGAACTTAGTAAAATATATAATATTATATTATTTATTTCGTAAAATGTTACAGAATTAAACGTGTCTTTACTAAGTTAAGAAGACAAATGAACCACCAATTGGAAGAAGGAAATAAATCCAAAAATTAAGAATGGAGATAATTAAAAAAATCATTTTATCTCCTTTTCGTCTAGTTATAGGTTAATGTGATATATTATATATCACATTATATATTATAGACTTGAAGAAAATATTAATTCTGATTATTTTCAAATAAGTCTGACTGATATATGTTAATGTTAGTTAAGTTACTTAAATAGAAACTTCTTGGATTTATTTCCTTCTTCCAATTTATTATGTACTGCCATGTAATAATAATTAATAATAATACTATCTATCGTATACTATGGCATCAATTCATAATAATGAAATTGTATTTTTTTAATATAGTTTGTTCATATTAACTAAATGTTTTGAGACATGAGATTTATTACGAGGAAGAAAATAAAGTGAGGATGGGCGTTTAAAGCAGTTAAAAAAAATAGAAAGCAATAGGAAAAAAGGAAGCAAGAGCAAGACGCTTCAATTTAGCAATATTTTACTTGGCATTTTTGGCAAAAATATACTATTTTATTTAAATAAAATTAATATTTTTCTTATTTTCAGAAAAAATAAACTTGGACGTCGGCACCGCGCGGCAAATCAAGTACATTATAAACGGGAAAATCCGTAACATTAGATATTATAATAAGGCATAGACATTCTATTTTTTAATATATACATATTGCAATATAAAAAGCGTTGTTTTAATATACATAACACACTAAAATATGTTTAGGACGAATATAAACAATGTTAAGCTACTCTTATTACGTTTGTTAAACAATTTACTGAATAAAATATTTTTGATTAAATATTATAATATGAAATAGTTTTAAGCTTTTAAATATATTTCAGTACGAGTGAACCTCCCCAGTGGAGTTGCGGCGTAACATAATTTACAACACCATATTACCATCGTAAGAGGCGACTGAGGGAGCTGAAACCGGAGATGGACCGCGGTATATTGTTGATAATAACTCAAAATAATACAAAAACTGCGTTGCCAACCCGCCTGCCAAGCGTGGCAACTATGGCAAAAATCTTTTCCTATAAGGCAATATAAGGGGGAGGCCTGTGTTCAGCAGTGAACTATTTAAAGGCTGTAATGAATGAATGATTAACTGTATTCTAAATATTGTTTTTATTCGTAGAAAATTGCATTGCATTGGACTTAAAATTGTATCAAGATCTACAAATGAAAACAGCACGAGGAAAAATTACTATTACGACTGTTACAAACTGTAGTGCTTCATGATTATTACATTTTTGTCGTCGTCATTTTAAAAAATAATGTATAAAAGGAGCAAGTTTTAAAGAAGATCCAGTGCGAGTCGGAAATTGCTATTAGGATTGTCTATAATTAATATTTTTAATTTAAGTCACTTCTCTTATTGCTCATCACCTTTTGTCGTTACTTTTCTAGTTGACCATTATAAGTATTTTTTTTATAGGATAGGGTGACAAACGAGCACACAATCCACCTGATGGTAAGTGGTTGCTGTGGCCCATAGACATCTACATTTATCCTCGTTTGCGAATCAAAATGCAGAAGCGTTGTCACCCGTGAGGACTAAGATGGAATGCCTCTTTGCCAGTAAAAAGAGTCTCCGGTTCTCTACACTCACCATACGAAACACAGCAGCGTTAAGCTGCTATTTTACGCTGATTTCCTGTGAGAGCGTGGTCCTTCCCCGGTCGAGCCGAATCATTCGTGCTACAACTATACTACTAATATAGCTGCAGCATGGCTCTACCACGTAAAAGATTAAATAAGTTTTTTTCTATTTGTAGTTGATATTTTTATTAAGGATATTTTGTTATAAAAATCAAAATTTTCTTATAAATATCACGTAAACATATTTCCTAGAACAATTTTTCTCCTGTATAGAGCAGGTTTACATACATAAACCGCACAATGACACACATCCATACTCGGAATAATTATTTGTAGGCTGTACAAATACTACATCTTCCGTTCGGTATTCAAACCCATGGCTCACATCTCCGCAAACGAACACCTAGCCTCCCTGTCATCGATTCGTCCATATGGTTTATATATTTTATTAGTAAACAACTTTCCGTCCACGTCTCACTCCGTGAGAAAACACAGCAGGAACGCCATCTGCATTGTGCCGTCGTTGCCAATACTGATAATGATATATAGTAATTTATTAATGACTAGCTGTTCCCCGCGACTTCACCCGCGTGTAATTTAGGGTTTTAATTATGTTACGCGGAACCCTAATTCTTTTTGTAAAATATAAGTAGTCAAAGTTATTCCTTGTAACATGAGTTATCTACCAGTGAAAGTCCCGTCAAAATCGGACCAGCCGTTTCGGAGAATGTGTTTTTGTCACAAGTACCGTATATACTTTCATATGCAATTAGTAAAAAGCTGTTAGTGTGACATTTCAAACAGACACTTCAATTTTATTTATTTGTATAGATGAACTATCTCGTAGGTCTAGTGGTCGGGAACGCGATTGGTGATCGCTTGAACGAATTAATCGTTCAAGGGTGATCGTTACATCCCGGGTCGGACCAAAAATCAGTTATTGAGTTTTTCTGTCGAGAAATTATCAGTAGCGACCTTCCTGAGGTTGGCGGTGATTAACCCCCGTGCCTCGGGAAACACGTAAAGTCATGGCTCCTGCGCCTGATCTCTCTCCGATTGTGTCGGATTACCTTCCCATCGGACTATGAGAGTGAGGTAAAAGAGAGTGCACCTGTGCTTGCGTATACACTCGTGCACTATAATCCTGTCCTGCGCCATCTGCGTAGGACAGGATTATAGTGCTGCTCTTCTTGAGACTGGCCGCCGTAATCAAAATTCGATCTGGAGGACACTATTGTTGTTATTAATTATGGTGCCAACTACTCAATTGGCCGAGAGAACAAGCCTAGATTGTTTCATATATAATTTAAAATTAAAAATTTTGTACAGCCGACTTCCATATAAATTATTAAGAATAACTCAAAAACTATTTGTCTGAACTTGATCAAATTCATATGGGACCACACGAGAAGTACCAGCTATCAAATTAAAAAGGAATCATTGAAATCGGTTCACCCAGTAAAAAGTTATGAGGTAACACACATTTAAAAAAACAGTCTTATTGAGTACAGTCTCCTTTTCGGAAGTAGGCAGAAAATAAAACAAAACACGGTATATTGAAACTAGTGGAGTTTATTAATACCGTACAAACTGCATAATACGAGCAAGAAAATACGTAACAGTTTTTAAACATAACTAACAATAACTAAAATACTTCAATACAAATTCGTCATTTTACTATGGATATTACAACCTGCCAAAGTTGACTTGAGACATCCTTCGGATGATGTTAGTGCGCTGTGCAAAAAAGTAATGTTTGCCGAATACTATCGAGTATTTATTGTAGTATTTATTTTTTAGCACCCGGTCACCCAGTATATAAAACATGTTACATTTTAGTAGCTTTTAAATTACATTTAAAAAAAGAACTATAATTCAGTCTCTGTTCCTGTCATTAACTGTATCCATCAGTTATCGGACATACTGTTACACAGACAAACAGCAATGACGTAAAAAAGAATGATATGAAAAAACTTACGTAAACCAAACCCGAGGATCGATTTAGAAATTGTTGACAGAGGAGTCGAAGGTCGATGGAGAAAGCGCATTCCTCATAAGTCTCAAATTAACTTTGGCCGGCCGCCAAAATATAGTCAATTAACAAAACTACGAACTTTGAACTGTAATAATTCTTTAAGTCATACATTAATATGATGTACGAAGTGAATACCAAGTAGGTGAACATTAAGTAATAAAGAAATAAGCTATCTTACAGGGGGGCCTTCCCTACTCGTCATCACCGATTTCAAATGTATAGCACATGCAGGAATTGGCTAGAAATGAAAGAACCCGAAGTGGAAACTCCAGATGGCCAAGCGTATAGAATTTTTTTTTCTGAATGTGTACGCTGCTGGCCCTGCGGATTTGACAGCTTTATCTAATTAGGCTCGTAAGTGAGGACTTACGAACTATTGAGTGTAGCGATTCTGACGGCGGCGAAGCGGCGCGAAGCGCCGACCTATTCATAGAAGTGATCTCGTCGTCAAGCCTATAGAAAATAAAAATGTTACGCACCGTATAACCCATTTACGTTAGTGCGCATGCCGAGCAAGAGTTGGCGTGGCGGTAAGAGCTCGGACTAGAAATTCGATGGTCGTGGGTTCGACTCCCCGTGTGTAGATTTTTTTGTCTTTTACTCAATTTTGATTTATTTATTTTCTAATTATGCAGAGGCGAATGATTTATTTATTTATGCGAAAAAGGTATGGAAAAGGCAAAAAAAAGAGAAAAACAATCTACACACGGGTTAGTCTAACCCACGATCTTCGAATTGTAAAAAAAATGTTGTAAAAAAAATGTAATTCTTACTATAAATACAGATGAACTTGCGGAAGCTGTAGCCCCTGCAAATTTTATTAACCAAATTGATCAGTTGTTTGATTCGTTTAATGCCGACTCCGAGAGATTTACGACGGGGCAAGAAGCATTCAACAAATATGATTTTGAAAAGTCCACATTTAGAATACTTCAAATACATGAAGAAATTTTTAAAAGATATAAAATTTTGCGGATGTAATATCTATCCGCCGTTTCAAGAAGGAACGCACAATGAACGCAGTTGAAAAAATATAGCGTTCTTTAAATCGTCTTGGCATACGAAGTTTACCAACTAGGCGTTTCAATCAAGACAATAAAATTGTTTTAGTTGGGTCTATTTATAATCCCACTGTGTCTCAATTTGTCGCCGGAATGAAAACTGCAATTGTGACAAATTTGAAACACAATGGTCGTCGTCGGAATTGTGAAGACTATACACTTGTAAAGGCCAGGTCAAGAGTACCCTAAACCGTAGAGCATGTATGAAGGGAATAATGAAAGTAGACGAAGCAAAACAAGTATGTAAGGATCGTAGCAAGTGGAAAGAAGTGGTCTCTGCCTACCCCTACGGGAAAGAGGCGTGATTATATGAATGTATACACTTGTGCTCGCTGATAATTTGCAATCAGTTTTGATATCAGGTGACAACAAAGTTACTTTAAGCGATTCTCACATGAAATATTGCAATATAAACCATGTAGAGAGTATAATTACTGATGCTATTGAAAATATAGAGCATGCTACTTCCGAGGCACAAGTGTGTGCATGTGTGTGTGGGTTTATGATTAGGAAACTAAATTTAAATTGTGTTATTTGCAAACAATTATTATTATCGTCGGACATTAGCCTACACACATTTTCACTCAGTTCAAAGAGTACAGTCTACAAAAAGCAATAAAATAAAATATGCCAACAAAAAATTGATAGAATGCGTGGAAATGTGTGCAATTGTAATAAATAAAGTACTATTTACTCTTCTTATGAAGAAACAATTTTTAATCAAATCATGTCCATCCTACATACAGTAGTAGATTTTAGCTTTTTATTAACCCATTTGCGCCCTCTGTACCAAATAAACGACACCTCTTCAAATCCTAATTTCAAAAATACCACTTTATCTATTGATGAATTAATCTACATAGTTACTGACAGATGTCACTATTAACAATATTAATTGAAAAAAAAAATTATTGACTATGACATTGCCGCCATTTTTTGACATTTATCGGATACATTAATTTTCGTAAAGAGGTAAGTGC